GCCTGTCATGGAAGAGAAAAAGATGCGACATGCACTGCATCGTGACTCTAAAATCATGATATGAATGCACCGCAGGATCACTGATTATTGTTTAATATAGTAGACAGATTGACAGGCAGACACTCGTGACCCGTTCCACCTACTCAACACTCGTGTGTGTGTGTGGAAATATGGCAGCGGTAGCTTGTGTTTTTGGATCTGCGTGGTGTTTTATTGTCCTCCAGTGAGCCGTAATTCCCACCGGAGAGGTGAAAAACTCAAGTGCTCCCGTTAACACACTCAAGCTGCCAGATCCCACCGTTAAACGCCTTTTTTAAGTTGGCACGGGTTGCTGTAAACAAAAGCAGGTTAACACGTGAGAATATTAGAGTATCATGTAATTATTTCAGAATTAGCAGCATTGCAATATTGAACAGTTTATTGAAACTGAATCATGTTTAAAGGAATAGTTCTCCCGAAAATTGAAAATTTGCTGAAAATGTCCTCAACCTCAGGCCATCCAAGATGTAGATGAGTTTGTTTCTTCATCAGATTTGGAGAAATGTAGCATTCCATCACTTGCTCCCCAACCTCTCAAGATCCTCTGCAGTGAATGGGTGCCGTCAGAATGAGAGTCCAAACAGCTGATAAAAACATCACGATAATCCACAAGTAATCCACACTTAACACATCAGTTAACATCTTGTGAAGCCCACATTTTTAAGTTCAAACTTCAGAGTCCATAATAATCCATAATAATGTTTCTTTCAGTGAAAAAGCTGGTCTGAATCAGGAGAGAAATCTGCACAGATCAAGCACTGTTTACAAGCCAAAACAACATGTGGATTGATTATTATTATTTGTGGCTATAAAGATTTTTAAAAAAAGCATCTCGATGGATTTGTTTCTTACAAACACAGCTTTTGTCTTCTCAAGATGTTAACTGATGGACTGGAGTGGTGTGGATTACTTGTGGATTATTGTGATGTTTTTATCAGCTGTTTGGACTCTCATTCTGACGGCACCCATTCACTGCAGAGCATCCACTGGTGACGCAATGCTACATTTCTCCAAATCTGATGAATAAACAAACTCATCTACATTTTAGATGGCCTGAGGGTGAGTAAATTGTCAGCAAATTTTCATTTTTCTTTTCATCCTTTAAATCTAATAGCATAATCTTGAGACACATGAACATGCAGAAGTAGCATGCTGGGCACAAGTTGATTTGATTGAAAAGCCTCAATGAATGCATGTCATTATGCACCGCTGTATGCACCATCCAGATGTTTCTGTTCCCGGAGAGGCTTGCGGAGAATGGCGCTCCAGTAGAGAAGGTGTGAAAGCCCAATCTGTTCGTTAGGGTGGCTGAAAGCTCCAGACACGGATGCCTTTATTCAGAGAGAATATAATTATGGTTCACACGATCGTGCCTCAGGCAGGGAATTCAACTACGTGAAAATTGTGTCTTTTCATAGCTCACTCCACACACCCACAGACACACCGGCTTCCATCCGTGTCTCTCTGCTGTTTCTGAACACCTGAACGCTCACTGAAATCAATCTCAAGTCATTGTCAATACGACCAGGAACATGCATTTAAAGTCTAATTTGATTTCATGTTGAGCTTGCATTTCTAGATACATGAATGTTAAAGGCTAGTGAAGCATGTCGACACACTTCTGTCTTTTAGTAATGTCATCTTCCTGAAGAGAGACAAACGAACATGCTGAGCTTAATCCATCTTGTATTTGTGTTTAGGAATGATGATTAAAAGACATCTTAGGCGTCCTCTGAGCGCCGGTTCATTTGTCATCCTGAGATTATATGACAAAACCACCTCAGTCTCCTTCAATGACCTGCCAAAATGTTTCCTTTGCCAGTTTCTTGAATGTAAAATGAGAAAATTACTTTCCAAATATCCTTTTAGATACAGAAAAAAGCGCTAATAGGGCTGTGTAATGAAAATTTAGTGCGATTTTTGTTTTATTGTATCATTTTTATATTGTATAATTATTATTAATATATTATTACACTTCCAAAAAAGTGTTTTCTATGTGACTATATAGTCAAATGTAATTTATTACTGTGATCAAAGCTGAATTTTCAGCATCATTACTCCATGATCTTTCAGAAATCATTCTAATATGCTGATTTATTATTACATTTCTGATTATTATCAATGTTGAAAACAGTTGTGCTGATTAATATTTTTGTGGAAACTGTGATACATTTTATTTTTCCGGATTCTTTGATGAATAGAAAGTTCAAAAGAACAGCATTTATTTGAGACCGAAATCTTCCATAACATTATACTGTAAATGCCTCTACTGTCACTTTTGATCAATTTAATGCGTCCTTACTGAATAAAAGCATTAGTTTCTAGTAGTGTATATTATGTTATATCACGGATATCAGATAAATCACCCAGCCCTAACACATTTTGACACGTTTTATTGATATTTGGCTGTGAGTTCCAGCTCGGTCCAAATGCGACTCTACTGTAGATCTGAAAATGAGACACATCGTGAGCTCACAGCGCTCTGGGATGATTGAGTCCCCATCTTGAGCAGTCGCTAGCACTTGGAGGCAAGCCTAGCCTGGCGTCACGGGCGGCATTCATCACGTACCAAGGTTAAACTGAACTGCAGTTTCGAAACTATAAGCACCGTCGTCATGTCAATGTGATATTTCATACTTGCACCCAGAGGAAAGAACCATCACAAATGAGATCTGTCGTTGATTCTCCTAGACAGTAATATGCTTTTCTTTATCTTACTGAAGTCTCCTGCTTCTCTGATGTTTCTCCTGAGAAAAAGACCCCAGTGAGATCTATTCAGATTCATTTAAATGCACAGTACTCTTGACTTCTGAATAGGGATTTGAGGAGAACCATCCGAGACATGCAAGCTCACATTTGCTTGTTTTCATGTAGTTTTTCAGATTGAGTCTGAAGATGATTGTGTGTAGAGATGCAAGCGAATCTCCTCCAGACTGTGTGTGACTAAGGTTACATGTTTGTGGCTGACGCCACCTGTGCATTAGTCAGCTCTGACATCTCACGGATGCATGTGACAAGCTGATAGTGGTACGATAAACAGGAATGATGTAAAATCATCAGGGGTCGACGGGAATCGAGTCGCAAGTAGATCTGATGTGAGATGCAAGCATATTTCTTTTCTCCGCGCCCGTGAAATTCACCTTTCCGTGGGCTCAGTCTCTCGCCGTGAGAGCCGTAATGCTGTAAACTCCAGCAAACCTTCATGAATCATTTCATTTACAGGCCCGGTAATCCGTTACAGTAATAACTTCATCTCGAAGGGCATCATCCTTTCGTATCTCACTGTTTCCTGGGATAAATAGGCATGCGCTGATGGTATTGCCATCTGGATCTCTGCAAAATACCTTTTCTTAAGCACAGAATTTCAGGGCTCACTGCAAATAAATAAATAAAATAAAATAATAATTTTGTCTTGTTTTCTGGTAAAAATATCTAAGCGTCCTTAATACAATATACATATATTAGAGAAGCAAACTTGTTTGAAATAAGACTTGCTTTAAGAGAATATATTTTGAATTAAGTTTATTTTTCCTACCTCAGTGACAAAATGCTTTTTCTTGTCAGTGAGGTTAGAAAAAATAAAATAAAAGTCCAATTTAGGTAGAAACTTCATTCAAGATATATATTCTGAAAGCAAGAAAGCAAGCATTTATTGTTTTACACAATTTTGTTTTTCAAGTAAATTCTTATTTTTATGGATTTGTAGATGTTTTTACTGGAAAACAATGGTAAAGACAAAAATGCTGCTTAAGCAAAATTATTATTATTGTACATACAAGTAAAAGCATTTAGTCTACATAACTATTTATCCAATCTGCATTTTCAATTTTGCTTCTCGAGTAAATTATTGTTTTTAAGAGTTTTTAGATGGTTTGTAAAGGAAAACATATTGGTAAAGACAAAAATACTGGTTGAGAGATATTGTTATTATTATTAAAAATGTAAATGAAAATTATCTCTTTATTCTTAATGATTTATTCTACATATTCTATTTATCCAATCTGTATTTTCAATTGTGCTTCTCAAGTAAATTATTGTTTTTAAGGATTTTTAAATGGTTTATTACTACTATTATTATTATTTTGCAATGCTGCCAGAAAATATTTTACACAATTTTGTTTCCCATTTTTAAGGATTTTTAGATGGTTTTTAATGGAAACCATATTGATAAAGACAGAAATAATAATAATTAGTATTATTATTGCTGTTATTATTACTTATATGCAGTGCTGCCAGAAAACAATTTTATCAGGCAAAACATGAACAATGACCTTAAAGTGAAAGCATTTATTCGAACCATTTATCCATGCTATATTTTCTACCAAACAAAGAGACAGTGAAAAATGGCATTGAAGACATGCTAAAGGGAGATTCGCTGTTTCCTTGAGCATCACTAAATTATCCTGCCAATGTGAAGCATAATGCAGCATCCTTCCAGACTTTATATACTGCTTTATGTGCAAATGTTTTTCTCTGTGTAGGATTTATCCAAGATATTAGTGAGATGGTTAGCGCATTAGAAGTAAATGTATGTGTAGAAATAGTAAAGAAGCCTTTATGGATACATATATGTGAATGTTTAAACTAAGGGAAAGTTCACTCAAAAATGAACGTTCTGCCATCATTTACTCAGACCTATATGGGCATAAGAATGAGTAAATAATGACCAAATGTTTATTTTTGTGTGCAATAGTCAAACATGTCGTTTTAAGCCTTGAAGGTCATATGTGTGATAGGGGGTCCATTAACCTGTTTCTCACTGATGCTCTTTTATTCTGTCTTCTACTATTTTCCAACTGTTTTCCACTCATTTCTGGCTCGTTTCTTCTTGATTTGCATTTGGATCATTCTTCTTTTGTGTTTTCCAACTGATCGGACGCTTTGGTTTTCTCTCACACACCCCTCTTCTCCCCGTTTCCCCTCACACTTCTTCCCCTCCATGGTTCCCTCTTCCTCTCCAGCTGGGTTTGTGAAGTCGCCAATGTCAGAGATAAAGCTCACAGGAGACGCCTTTGAGCTGTACTGCGACGTGGTGGGTAACCCCGTGCCGGAGATCCAGTGGTGGTATGCCGATATTAACAGGGCGGACTCCTTCAAGCAGCTGTGGGACGGTGCCCGCAAGCGACGGGTGTCCATCAACACGGCGTACGGTGCCAACGGTGTGAGCGTGCTGGCCATCTCCCGCCTCACGCTGGAGGACGCCGGGATCTACGAGTGCCGGGCCAGCAACGACCCACGCCGCAACGACCTTCGCCAAAACCCGGCCATCACCTGGATCCGAACGCAAGCCACCATATCCGTGCTGCAGAGTGAGTGCTCTATGTACTGTAGTAGCTAGATGCTCAAGTGTCCTACTGCGTCCCCTGTGCACAAGCAGCTACGCACTAGGGCTGGGCGGCGTGGTTTTTATATTGCGTTTATACGTGTAGTGCGATTTGATTTTAATGGGAGTGATTTAGTTTTTGACATGTCATTCTGCATGCAGCTATAATGATACTGAATACAGCTGATGTGCATCATGTGTGTTAGGGATGCACCGAATGTTTGGTAACCGAAATTATTTGGCCGAAAATAGCAAAAAAAAGCTTTCGGTGTTCGGCCGAATAAGCGAAAAAGACCGAATAAACTGTACCGAACAATGATGTGACGCGATCAAAAAGCAACCAGCGTAGAGTGAGAGGCACAATGCAACAAACATGTCAGCAGTGTGGAAGCATTTAAAACTGTCTGAGAAAGACGCAAAAATCATTACAAACACCAACAGCGAGAGACTGTTTAGGACTGCATCGCATGTCTTCAATGAGAAGAGGAAGGGGTGATTGTTGCTGGTTACTGTATGATAATTGAAATCGCGAAATGGCCTTAAACAATTAAATAAACTGCAGAACGTCATGTTTTCGAATACTCGCACGCATTGCATTCTGACAGCGCTGCATGAACTCGCGGTGCTATCTGCTCGTTAGCCAGGGTTCAAAGTCCAAACCGCGAGGGAAATCTGAGCTGTAACAGTGTACTCAGTTGCTCAGTCACATTTTTATGATTTTTTTTGCTGTTGTCTTCCTGCGCGTTTCCGCCAGAATAAAAGTTGAGAAAAAGCAATAACTCCATAAACAATCATAAATGTTAGTATTGTAATTTTACTGTTGTTCTGTAAAATAAAATAAAAAGTAAGACAATAATAATGATAATAATTTCAACAGCTCTGTTAATACATTTATTATAACATTCACAGATAGTGTTCAAATTGGGATCTGTAATGTTTTCTAATGTTTTAAAAGAAGGCTCTTCTGCTCAGCAAGGCTGCTTTTAATTGTACAGTTAAAAATACATGCCTGATTCAAGAAGGGGGTCTGATGGCCAAAAAAATATTATTTTACTAACTTATTAATTTTAAGTTAAATTGTGCTTTGTTGGTATAATAATGTCTGCTAGAATGTTAACAAATGTTCAGTGTTAAATACTTTTAAATTGTTGTTTTGTAATAGATTTTTTCTTTGAAAAGCAAGACAAAACAGTAAAAAGCACATTTTGGCTATTTAATTTGTGCAGTGGTGAAAAAAACTGGCAAAATACATGAGGGAAAAAAAAAACTCAAAACCTTGTTCTGTATTCGGCCCAGTATTTCATTTTGTTCGGTTTCGGCTTCGGCCAAGAATTTTCATTTCGGTGCATCCCTAATGTGTGTGCATCATTCTGAAATGAACTGAGAATGCATTTAAAATACCATTCAATTTCAGAATTTGAATCGAGGAACTGGAATTGCATTTGAACAAGAATAGAATTTTTAGACTGCACAAGGGTTACACTGTGGTCCTTAGAGGACAAAAACGTGTCAAAAAAATGGTCATAAAAATATTATATATTCATATTTTGTCTGCTTTCATTGACATTGACACTGACATGAAATTGGCATTTTTTGTATCTAGTGTAAAATCGATTTCTGAAAGAAAATAAGGGTGAAATATTAAAATTCCATTATTATTAAGTCTTTTTTTTTTTTTGGTGTAAATTTATGCTTTTTGCATTAACATCTGAAACGATAAAAAAGACAAATGTCACACAAGGGTTAAAAAAAAGTCTTGGGGTTTAAAGGTTAATTTCCCAGAATGCATCACTTTACATTGCACATTGAATTTCTTTATTTGTAAAATCCTCTTCTTGTCATTCCAATTCAAATTCTGGAATGCTGGGGTCAGTTCAGTTTGAATTCACACACATGAATGGAAATGAATTACCATAGCAATCAATGAATTCTGAATTTTGCACAACCCTGGTGTATTTCGACTGTTTTATGATTTCAAACGTTGCACATCTGCTCATATTTAGAGTGCATTTCTGTTTTACGATATTTACATATTCGTTTGCTATGAATATAATCTGATATTATGGTTTGCATCCATATAAAAACAGTAAAGAATCAAATGAGATGAAGCACCTTTCATTAGTAAAGTATTTAAATCACCGGATTATCCCAAAATAGATATTACCGCATGATTATGCAATACATAAAGCATATTCAGAGGGAATTTGCGGCAAAAATAACTAAATAATGTTTTCTGCTATAAAAAAAAGTCTTCTTTATGCAGCCCAGCCCTACTACAAACAAAGCAATCCCCCTTAGTTTATTTTTTTTTTTAATTGGGACAGCATTGTATTGATTCCTCTTGTATTTTTATTATGGCTTGACCTTGGTGTGTCCAAATGTCCCCCTTTCCTTCAGGCAGACTTTGAGGATTCCCACTGAATTCAATAGTCATTCAGCCCCTTTCCTCTCCTAATGCCCTTGAGCCTCTTGTTGTGGATGACCACAAGCCCAGACATATCCCTGCTCTCTGTCTGCCTCTCCTCCTCCTCCTCCTCCTCACTCCTTCCTCCCTCACCCTACATGCCGTCCATCCTGGCTGTTTCTGTGTTTCCTGTGTTGCTTGGGTTCTTTATTTTCATTTCATACGGACATGATTTACTCGGGAATCTTTTGCCTGTTTGTTTTTCAGTTTTGCGTTGCGTGGGTTGTTTTATTTACTTCAAAGCCCGACATTGTGTGCCCTGTGCAGAGCTTAAAGCCTAACGGCGCTTTGAAGTCATGCCGTGTTTTATCTGTGCATTTTGTCCTTGGAAAAGGGGGGATGGGACCAGGAAGAAGACACAAGGAAAAGGGGTCATTTCAGTTATACGGGCAATTCCTTATCTCAATATCTAAAAAAAAAAAAAAAAATCATAATCTTATCTCTGGTGTAAACCTGACCCGTGTGCATCCACAGCTGGAGAATGACCTTGTGCCTTCTTTGCATTTACTGTTTGCCTGTGATTCAGTAATGACATGATATTCCTCCCGCTCTGATCCCCAAACATAAACCAATCAGTCGGGTCTGATTCATTTGTGTGTGCTTAACTGAAGTTCAGGGATTACTGTCCATCAAGGGCTTGCTAAATTAAGTCAAATAACATGATATCATATTCTGTCATTACTGAGAGTCAGTGTTGTCATATTATATCCATGTGATACGGCATCATCACATGCATATACCAGGCTATACATGCCGAAGCGTATAGTTTGTCAACAGGACCATGTCCAGATTGATGGTGGTCTTGTCGAGCTTCTCGTGTGCTGAGGCTGTAGACTGTAGTGAAAACCTCCCAAACCTGCAAAGCTCATTTTAATATTTATTAGAGATGCACCGATGTATCGGCAATTATCTGTTTAAAAACAGCCGATGATCAGAGCTGATTCTGTCCTGTCAATCAAAAGCTCTCAAATTGTCCATTTTATCACAAAAAAATGTAAGAGTCTCTTCTACTTTAATACTAGTTATAGCATGAAATTAACATACAAGAGCATCAGAAGGTGTTGAAAGATACAGTACAACTTACTGAAATGAATCAGGTCTCATGTAATCGCTCAGACAGAGTTTCAGCCATGGAAAGATGCCAATAAAATTGCTTATGAATGATATGTCACTTAATGCATTCACCTCAGGAAAGATAACCAGTGTTTACAGTTGGTTAATGAGCTATAAAAACAACAGAGAGGAGATTATTTACTGTTAATTATATATGTATGTTCGAATAAATCTTTTTATGAAATTGAGTTGAGTACAAACATTTCAGTTTTTGAGTGTGATTATTATATCCAATGTTGGGTAAGTAATTACTAGCTACTAATTAGATCTTCAACAGTGTAATTAAATTACTCTCTCCAAAAAGTGTTGCATTACTTATTACTAATTACTTTTTAAATCCCAGGCCAACCTCAGCCAGTTGAACAATGCAAGGATTTAAATTACAGAAGAATTAAGAGTAATCCCTTACTTTACTTTTTCTGTACATAATTACAGTAATTAATTATTTAGTAATGCAGTACATCCAACACTGACTATATCTGATAATAAATTGCATTTGGATGTAATAGTTTGAGCTCTGCTGTTAATTTTAACCTTTAAGATTATAATAATGTACCAAAATGAGAGAGATCACTGTACTGTTTACGGCATTAGTTGGAAGAGTTTTTTTTTTTCTTAAAGGGATAGTCCACCCTAAAATGAAAGATCTATCATCATTTACTCACTTGTTCCAAATCTGTATGAATTTCTTTCTTCTGTTTTGAAGAATGTTGGTTACCAAACAGCTGATGGTAGCCATTAACCTCCAAAAAAAAATTCTATGGAAGTCAATGGCTTCCAGCAACTACTAGTTTGGTTACCAACATTCTTCAAAATATCTTCTTTTATGTTCAACAGAAGAAAGAAACTCATACAGGTCTGGAACAACATGAGGGTGAGTAAATGATGACAGAATTGTCCTTTTTGGGTGGACTGTTCCTTTAAGAAAGGGATATTGATATCGGCAGATGTCATTCTGAATAATCGGCTCTTGGTATTGGCAGAGAAATTTAGTATCGGTGCATCACTAATATTTATATTTTCACCCCAAACGTCTCTTCACAGTTTTCCTTGCCAAACTCCTCATCGGTGACTGATGATTGTGAGCAGGACCGATTGATTGACCATTAAACTCTCTCCTCTTAGCAGGTGACCTCCAGATGACCTTCGGCAGGATCTCCAGACGTTCTCGTAGCCGTCCAGACAGATAGTGTGTAGGTGAGGGTAAGCAATCTGATGCCAGCCAAGAGAGAAAGAGAGAGAATACTAGCAATAACGTTCCCCTCGGCTAAACCAAACTGCTGATGAAGGTGTAAGGAATGCTAATTGGAGGATGATCCCGAGCACCTCCCAGCAGAGCAGGAATAATATCTGGAGGTTTACTGTACAAACCAATCACAGGGTGATTATGCCTCGCCCTGCTTTTTCCAACTGTGTGCTGCGGTTGCTACGGTAGAGATTCACACACCCGGACGCTTCGCTCAGTGATTAAAGTCTGTGCGTTTAAATTAAAAGCTTATTAAATGAGGATAAAAAGTAGTGATGTTTTGTTATTTGAGCCCGTAGTAGTCCCAGAAACAATCTGCAGACTTGCCATGCTTCCGTCCTAATTTTGATGGAAAATCTATGGAATATATTTTAATATTTAAACAGTTAATATGATAAAATGTGTTAAATGGAGAAAAATTCACTCCAAAAAATATTTAGACATAAATTTAAGAATTTGAATTGCATATAAAATTTCCATCCTTCTGAATTATACAGTTTAAACATAAACATGTCAGATTTCTGTAGTACTAATAACCTGTTTTAAATACACAATAACCAGCTTTATATGTTTATCAATAAATTCAATTGGATTCAAACTCACACATTTTAACTAATTGAATATTAGTAGTTGCTCCACAGCTAGTCATATTTGTTCATATTTGTAAATGAATAAGTTTAATTCTTTTTAAACAGATGCTATTTGAATATATAATTATTTAAATAAAATCAAATTGATGCAAATAGTTAATATTAAACTATGCCATGATTTTTTGAATGGAGAAACCAGTATGACTGATACCTTAAATTCAATGTATTAGTTTGTTTATTTTAAAACAAACTAATAATGTTAATGTTAATTCAAATGGCATGATGTAATTCAAATACATAAATACAATTTTTTGTGTGTTTTATTGATAGCTTAAAGCATCATTATTTGGCCGTAATATTTCATAAATAAGGACGTGTAGAACTTGCATGACAGGCATTTGCAGATATTTTATTTTGACTGTCCTTTAGACAATAAATGATTGAAACAGTAAAACATTACTACTGGATATAAATTTTGGCCACTGATATATGCCATAAAATGCCAAGAGAAAATAAGCTGAACAGAAACGGAACTGTTATTCGAAACTTTGCAGCTTGCACATGAAATGATCCAAGTTGAACTGGATTTAATGGAAACTGCTTGATGGATGATTTTGCTGTAAAAGCGTCCTCGTGTACAATTGATGAGGCTCGTAATATGGTCTGAACAAAACTGCATGTTCACTTTTGATTCTTGATCGTCTGCAGGTGCAAATTCAGTGACTATTTTATGAAATGTGTCACAATAGAAGAAATTGCAAGCCATTTTGTCCCATTTCAGGCAAGTATGGAGGTGTATATGCTCTTAAAGGGATAATTCACCCAAAAATGAAAAATCATCATTTATGTGTCTTTTCAAACCTGAATGACTTCTGTGGAAATCAAATTGATTTAAAGACGAATGTCCAAGCTTTTCTAGTCCACAGCTGTTCTCACATGCTGTGGCTTCAAATATAGATTTTTGTGGACTTTCATGATGTTTTATGGTGTTTTGGAGCTTGGTGGTCGCTGCTTCCTCTCCAATTGCATTGTATGAAAAAAGCAGCTCACTGCAAACATCTTGTTTCACAGGAGAAAGAAAGCTTTGAAATGATGTGAAGGTGAATAAATGATGACAGGATCTTTATCTTTGGGTGAATTTTCTTTTTAAGCATCAAGATAATCTATAAATGGACATGTTAAACTTCCTATTGCCAAAACTAAATGAATTAATATGGTGTCTCCATTCCCCACACAGGAACGCATTCAGGAAGGTCTGAAGGAAACATGAATGTCCATTAAGCACATAATGTTTTATTCACTAATTGTCCAGGATTTTGTCTTCATTTCAGAGCCACGAATCAATGCTTCTGATCAGGAGATTTTGCAGCCTAAAAGCGTGCAGGAGTTGCCCATCACCCTTCAGTGTAACCTCACTAACTCACACAGCACCCACCGGGAGACCTTCTGGATGAAGAACGGAAAGGAGATTTCCAAAACAAGGACAGAGCACAAACACACCGAGTTCAAGTGAGATTTCAACGTGAAACCAGTTTATTGGTGCTTATCATTGATGTTAAAGAAATTCTTTTTTCTTTTTTTTCTCTGTGACATGCTGTCTGTTAATCATTTCAACTCGTTCCTCACATTATAAAATCGAGCAGGAACCATGTTGATCGATTAAGAAAGCCCAATATCTCAGCAGGCAGCACTGCAAATAAATGTTTAATATATGTATTCTGTATTCCAGGCCTGTTAATCTGCACTGCACTGCTTAGTCTGTCTGACAGGTGGATGGATCTCATGAAAATGTCATATTTCACCCCAAAATCAAATAGAAAGCAAAATAAATTATATTGTGACTTTGCAAAGAGTTAAATTTTTAATGTTAATTAGATTTTTTTTTGTCTGTAACCTAACTGTTATTCCCATTATTCTTGATTGTGATCTCTCAAAAATACTATATATATATATATATTGTGTGTGTGTGTGTGTGTGTGTGTTTATTTATTTATTGTATTTTATTCTATTGTTTAATTCCATAATTATATTATTATTATATATTAATGTATTTTATTCTATTATACATACATATA